TGGAGTGGACGGAATTTTATCGCGTTTTTCACTTGCAACAATTTCATAAAATTCAATTTAAATGCACACAAGCCCGTGCAGAATATTCAAATGAATTTCAAGCGTAACAATTGCATTCCACTCCCTGCCACCTTTTGTTATTAGCTGGATGGAGTGGAAATTTTTTCGCTAGCCAAGAGTGCTGTGAAGAGTGCAATCTTGATACCGCTCTGATTGACACTTTTTGGGTAAAGCTTGCATTTAACTCGACTGGCTTAATTAAAGTGGCCCCGGGAAAATGAAAACGAAGCCGCTGAAAAGCTGGCCAACAAAGCCGGGCGATGCAGCTGAGCCGCAGACAAAAGCGGCGAACAACTGCGGCCGACAAAAACCTGGCACAAAGTTTGGGGCCACAATTTGAGCTTTTTTTTGTTTTCGCCAGAGCTCAAACAAAACGGAGGCGACGAAACCAATACGAACACACTACAGCGCCAGATAGGCACACAAAAAATGGGCAGAGAAAAGAATGACCATCAGATTATCCTGTTGCTGGCAAACAACAAATTTCAAGTGCACTGCAAGGCCATAATCCGCTCGAGCCTGCAGCAAACCGTAACCGCCGGAGGGTCTAGAAACTGGGTTGGACTGACTGCCATAACATGGCTGATTACCCGCTGCAACTTGGCCAAAAAACCGCTAAGCGCCCGGCAAAAGTTTTCATTAAAGTGGCTCCCGGCTTTCGGCCTTTGTAATTGCTCGGCATTGAGGAATTGGCAGCGCTGAGAGCTTAGACCCGCTCGGCTTCTGGCCCTGAGTGACAGCCGCCCAGGTGTGGCCTAGATTGGCCCAAATTGGGCCGAAGCAGCCAGTTCTTGGGTAGCAGCATCGAAGGAATTTATTTGCGAGTTCAAATATTGCTTGAAAACTTCGTGACAGCTTTGCAAAAGTATGCAAAAGATGCGATATATAGTTTAAAATATTTTTAAAATGTTTATCTGATCATACATTTTAAAATTGAGAATGTCATTTTCATTTATTTATCACCTAATACAGAATAAAAAAATAAATTTGAATAAATGAAAAGGGATTAAAGCAATTTTCATTGTTTAAATCTAATTGCTATTTTAAAGCAAAGAGGGATTTTAGCTGGCGTTTTAAAATGAATGTGGGGCAGCCTTCCATTAATTGTGCCAGGCAAACAAAAAATTAAAGCTGAAATCGTCCTCCCATTTTATTTCCGGCAGCAGAGCGCTGGCACATTATCCTTGACACTTTTTCACCAGCCTCCTGCACTCAAAATGTATTCTTTTTTTTGGACCGTCGTCTTCTTTTTGCACCGCTTTGTTTAATGAATTATCAGTGCGCCCATTACCAGCACTTAAAGAGGCCGGCACGTGGGGGAATAGGGGCGTGGCAGTGACACTGCAGCTTGAGTTTGTTCTATGTCACCGGTGTCCTTCGCTCGCTTAACCGCAGGCGCATTGAACGCCAGTTCCCCTTTTCCCTCTTGCCAACGACTTCTTTTTCCTGCAGCGGATTATTTGACATTGATGCGTTGACTTGTTGAACTTGCGGTCGAGAGGACAATATCTGTTGGCTTAGCCAAACAGGAAAATTAAATCCAAGTGGCACTTGAGGGTAAACTTGATATATCCCGTTCCTGCCGGGCTAATCAATAAATGCAATTGCCATTAACTTTTCGGGTAAAACTTTTGCCCAGCTCGCCTGTGTTTCGTTTGCTAGCTGGGGCGAAACTATTTTTCAATTTTCGCCGTTGGAAAAGTTTTTTGTTCGTACAGCTGCCTCGGAAAGTAATGCAACATCCATTAAAAAGGACGACAGGAGTGGTGTCGTGGGGAGCGGGGAAATGATGTGGGGGGTGGGGGGGGAAACGGAACAGGCAGCAGCACATTAAGGTCCTGTTTCGCATCCTTCCTGCTCCTACCATATCGATTGAAAAATAAGTGCCAGGCAGGAAAACATAACAAGCCGAAAAAATACTCAAAAAAAATAGTTCTTAAATTGCTTGATCCTCGAAAGTTGTAATTGTTGTTAATTAAAAAATTAATTTTTTAAATAGTTTTTACTGCTACAATTAAGTCCTCATTTTATTTTTTATAATAAATTTATTCCATGAAATCTTCTATGCTTTTTAATTAACAACAGACATTTGGCAACAAATTTCTTGCAATGTAAAAGGAAATATTCATCTCCGTCTCAAGGCCATCAATTGGCATTTTGGGTTTGAAAGACCAAGACCAATCGATATCCGTACTACGATCATTTCAGGAATTGTGTCTCTCCCCCCTAAAAAATTGGCCACAATGTAAATTGATACTGGGGCTAAGAATAAACAAAGCAGATGCAAAAAAAATACAAGAGAGCTCCTGAAAAACTGAAAATGAAACAGGTAGCAGCTGCCTGGTGCTAAAGTGCCAACTTATGCCACGAAAATGCTTGAATATAATGGCCGTTGTGGGAGGCTTGAAGTGTGGCAATGGGGATGGTAGGGTGGTTGAGCGGTGGGTGGTTGGGTGGTTGGGCGGTGCCTTGTGGGCGGTATGCAGTTGTGTGACGCCACCACAAAGGCCGCCAAGATGACGACGACGACGACATGCAAAAGTGGGACGAGTGCTGCCGCTGCTGGTGCGTTGGCATTAAGTGGCATGTGGAAGCGGCTACAAGGACACTGATAATGATGGAAAAATTCCCTGGGCACATACACATAGCACACATCGCTCGGCAAGCTCCGCTCATCGCTTTATCAGCCTGGGGACTCAACTAGTTGGTACTCAGTTTAAAAGTCTTACACCGCCTTGTCAAAAACTCCGTCAGGCTTACACTTATCAAAAACTTTGAAGTCTTAAGTTATATAAAACCTAAAAATTGTAATGAGCTTTATATACTCATATTTGCACGCACGTTTTTGATTTTATTAAAGAATATATTGTATTCAGTCTTTAAAATAAATTTTAAAGTAATTAATTTCCATTTGCAAAGCTTTATTTTTAATATAACTAGTAGCACAACCTTAAAATGTGTTTAAAAATATTCAAAAACGTTTAAGTTACTAATGTTTTGTATAAAAATATATAATGTCTTAAAGTTTCTCAATGAAGTTTATATTAATATTTATTTACAGTGTACAAAAATCAAAAATAAAATATTTCACAAAATCCGTTGGTCACGTATATATCCCTAGTACCCTGCCCTGGCCATATATAAAAATTGCACTGGCAGCCACAAGACAGTGACAAAAGGGCACTTGCCGACCTTCCACCCACTACCGCCCACTCTCTCGTCCTTTCTGCCACTGACAGGTGCAGGGCAGGATAACGGGGCAACGGGAGGGAGAGGGTGGCAAAAAGAAATCGACCTTGACTGACAGCTTGACATAAACTCGACTGCTCTCGACGTTGTTGCTCTTTACTCTGCTGCTTCTCGCCGAGATCCAGCATCAGGCTCATTATTTTCGCTTTAGCCGGACAGCAGGCGGTCAGGTGGTTGGCACCCCCAAAAAAAAAGGGGGGAATGTAAATGGCTTCGCTCTTTAAAGCCGACAAACCACAAAAGGCTGTACGTCGATCTCGGCCCGGTCCACAGTAAGTGACTTCAACTAACCAACTCGCCCTTCGCCAAATGGAGCTCGCTTAAATGGCCAACCACTTTCGGTTACTTTTGCCTTCTCACACGTCTGCGTGCTCGAAATTCATAAGCCAGCCGGGAGTTTTATCAGCCAGCCGTAGCTTAATTACATGTTATTCACGTATAAATCAGAGCGAACGGAACGAAATTCAGATCACAAAGGGAAATTAGCTGATAAAATGTTAGCCATATCGAGGTATATAATAATGGTATTAAAGCAATTGCAGAACTCTCTCTCTTTCTGTTTTAATTCGCAATAATTTCCTTCAGTAATTACGAATATTTTCAAAAACAAAGTTTTTATTCAAGATATAAACATACAAATTTGTTCAGTCATAAACTACTGCATATGAGAATGCAGAACCTCTGGATATGGATAAAAATACTCAAAAATTGGTCTGATAAAAAAATGGAATAACAAAGATAAATATCTGGGTTATTTAATCCAAAATTGGTTATTTTATGTTTTATATGCATTATTTGAGTTATTATATCTTACTCTAAAATAGTCAAATTAAATGTTAAAAAATAATTTGATATAATTATATTTAAATAAATAAAAACTGCAATGGGTAACAACCAAAACCAAATATATTTACATATTTTGTATTAGTAATAGCATCGTAAATCATATTTTTATTCATGTAAACTCATGACTCGTCTCTGTCCTTAAAAAATTTACAACTTACGCACATTTAAGACCGGGCCTTAAATATTTATGAGCTTATGAGCACAAGGCCCAAATGAGCCATTGATGACCGAGACCACAGGAGGATTGGCCCTGATTCAGGATTGCCAGGGCGATTTTCATTTTACACAATGTATCCCGGAAAAGTAGGCAACGTTTTTCATTCAAATGCCAGCGGCGCAAAGACAAAGTCGTCCTTTACCCTGTGCGACATTGTGTGCTTGTGTGTGTGCGTGCGGTAGAGTGCGAAGGATATGGTGTGGGGAGTGGTATAAAACGGCTATCATGTCGTCGCTGTCGTCGTGCCAAAGGTTCATAAATTCGTTTTAATCCTGCTTTATGGCGACATCACATCGAACATGAACTTTAACGCGCATGTGACTACGGCGACGGCTTCATTTGCATTTTACAACTTCATTTGGCAACCGGAATGCGAGGCGAAAAATAAAAGAAATGTGCGCTGAACCAATTGGCGTGGTTTCGCCATGTGGGGGTAGTCTCTGCCACGCCCACTTCCACCTACTTTTTGCTCCGAAATTATTGTTTAATCTTGACCAACGCCCCCGCGAAAAGCGAATGTTGGCACGACAAGCGACAATTACTTGCCCTTTAACCCCGGATGTGGACATTTGCACGCCCCTCGATTAACCCCTTCGATCCAGTAAAACTCAAAAAACTCATTCGGCTTCTCGTTTTGTTTTCTTTCAATTCTCAACTAATTTATTTTTGCTTTCTCTTGTTGGTTGGGTGAAATGCTTTCGAGTTTTAGTTTAGTGACACCCTAAAGTACGTTTTTTTGTTTTGTTTTTTGTATCGTTTTAAATTACAATTTAGAGTTTGGATCTAATTGGCTTACAATTTGTGACCACCTGAACGGCGGTACAGAAAAACAAACATCTAACAATCAAACAATACGTCAATCTATCGTTTTGCAGTCTGTGCCAACTCATACTTATGATATTTAGGTCATCTATATTATCCTTGTTTATATTGAGATCGCTTAAAGTACAAAAACACTTGTAGTTAGACTAACACGAGAGCTTTTTTCTTAGGGGGGATTCTAAAATTAGGTTCCGATAGGTGTATTCGAGATAGTGTTTTTCATTTCTAAAGGATTTCTGTCTATACACTTACAATGTCTTATGTTCTGTGTCGTCCGCTTTTCGGGATCGTGTTTAATATTGCGTAGTAGCGAGTATAAAGAGTGGAAAAGTGTTTCTATAATACAACAGAGGGGCTGGGTATCGAACCAGTTGAATCTCCTCCAGCTACCTAGGCCTAACTAACTATCCAGACAAATGCATTTAGATCGATGGGCAGGAGCTTGCATGGGCTTAATAGTCACTTGTCTTTGATAAAATTATTTTTTGTCAGAAGCTTTGTAAATTATGAGATTTTGAAAGAGTATGAAAGTTGGGTTTTCTTTTTATCAGCAAGGAAAATGTTAATTGGTTGCTGAAAAATAACTGATCGAATAAATATAAAAATATATATAAAAATCAAAAATAATAGATAACCTCTCAAAATGTGTACACCTTGTCCATGATATGTTGTCCAAAAATATAATCTGAAACCAAATTATTATGAAATTGTTTGAACTATACAAATTAAATATTAATTTTAGGAAAAATGGGCATTTAAAATAATGCATAAGAGAAAGATATCTTGTAGAAACTTGTTAGCATTTTTAACTTTGTTATTCCTGCAAGCTCATGCCATCTTCGGTGGACCGAAGCCTCTCGTTTTTCCTTCCGCCCCATCACTCAATCCTCCGGCTGTACACGATTGCGATTAGCTCTTGAAAATATCCTGTCCGGGCTGCGGGGAGGCGGGAGATCCGCCCGATCCGTTCGAACCGCCACTGCCGTCTCCGTTCAGCCGCTTCAACATGGCGTTGCGGTGCAGCCAGTAGGGCGGTGGATCCGGCGGTTGTCCCGGCAGCAGGGTCTTCGTCTTCAGATTGCTGGCCGCCGGCGGTTTCGGACTGTGCGAGGCTGCACTGTACATCAGGGGGTCGGCCAGCTGGGCAGCCGACTGTCCGATGGCCACTCGCAGGGGGGTCTCCTTTTTCCGGATTGTGTCGCAGGTCTCCTTCATTTTGCACAGTTGATCCTGTAGGTTGCGATACTCCTCCAGGAATCGCTCCAATTGAGCGGCATGATAATCGTAGGCGGCCACCGAGGAGTTGGCCGCTCCGGCCGCTCGAGACGCCAGGGCGGTGAAGTCCAGAAGGGGCGTGGCCGCACTCGATAGCGAGCGCTGATGCTGCACCGGACTGGAGGGCAGGCTGGGCTTTTGGCCCAAATGACCGGGCAGCAGGCTGCCCTTGTGGGCGCCACTTTGCACCAAGTTGAGGAAACTATTTGCCCGCTGGCCACCACCGGTGTAGGTGGCCGTGCTCGAGTAGTTCGCATAACTGGACTCCGCCGAGTACCGCCTGCCCAGACCCATGGCCTCGTTGAGGAAACTTCCATCGCCCAGGGTGCTGCTGCCATACTTACTGGAGTTGTCCGCCAGCAGCGGCGATTGGCTGTCCGAGGAGTTGCGGAAGTACTTGCCGCTGGTCTTCAGCTTCCGCGGCAGCGTGCACAGCCCCCCGTTCGGAGTGGGCGTGGCCTGGCCATAGCCGCCCTGCCCCCGACCCTCCTGCTGCTGCGCCTGGGCCACCGCATACTTGGCTATGTCCAGCAGGTCCGGATAGTTGCTGTCGAACAGGTCGCTCTCCTGGCCTTCGCTGCAGAACACCGACGTGGCCATCTCGTCCGCCCCATGATTGCCGTAATGGGCGTAGGGCGTGGCCGTAGCCGTACCCGAACCCGTGCCCGGGGGATTCACGGATGAGGAGGGTGGATGCACAGACGTGGCCGGTTTGCTGTGCGGCGAGTTGATCTTGGTGGTTGCAATGGGCGTGGTCTTCCAGGTGTGACCGGCATAGCCGCCCAAGCGGGCAGCGGCATCCACTTGGCTGGATATCGAACTGGATGCGGAATCGGTGCTGCAGAAAAGGAAAAAAAATGTAATTACTATTATGTTGCTGTGCTATGCTGAACTAGGATTTTGAAGTGAAACCTATAATAAATACTTGTATAACTTGGAAAAACATCTTTTAAAATTAGGATTTTGAAATAAACCCCATAACAAACATAGTTTGGGAAAAAATCTTTAAATATTCTCCTGTTCTTACAAAATTAATGTAAAAATTCTATGACACCGACGGATTTTGTATACCACTTACAATATTATAATACCATATAGATTTGCTTTAAAATATTTCAAAAATATTTTTAAATATGCAATTTTGATTATTATATGTTTTTTTTTTTTAAATTATAATGTTATGTGTTTAAAAAAAGGGCCAAATTAGGCATAATCATCGGCTCTACAAGTACTCGATAAATTAATAAAAACTAATAGAATTATTTGTTAAATTGGTATCCTCTGGACATAAGATATTCTTTTTTGTCAGAATAGTTTATACTACACCCCTACACACCCTCTGTTTCTGCACCCCTACTGTGTTCGCTGAGTGCCTGACTTTTCAGTCGCTCGTTATTTGGCAGTGTCCTCGTCCATGAAGATAACCGGCCGCACATCCATTTGCCCGCACTCGTAGTCGTATCTGCGGCAGGATTCCTTTCACGTGACAAGCGCCAATCAGGCAGAGTGAGTTCTCAGTGTGCCCAAAATAAAGCACTTCTCGGGTCCGTGGATGTGGATGAGGATGTGGATGTGGATGTGGTCTTGGAGGAAGAAGGTTGCATGTGAGATGCTGGATGTGGATGTGGATGTGCTCGCATATTTCGCGCGTCATTAGCACGCGCGTTCGCTTATGCGGAGGCCGCATGGAGGTGGTTGGGCAGAGATGGCGGAGATGGCAGGGCTCGAGCTCAAAGTGGAAGTGTCAAGTGTTGCCCATAATACGGACGCAATACGGAGATCCGGGCGCGTTCCGCACTCGAGCATGACAGCTCTTTGACAGGAACACGGACGCCCGGTCGGGGGACAATTGCCACTCGAAGTAACGAGAACCACAGAAACACAGGGCGCCCGAGGTGTACACTTGGCGTAAAGAAGCGTTTATAACCAAAATTAGATAAATAAGTCACTCATAAAGATGTCTAAATGTATGCAATAAAAACATAAAGTCGTTATTCGGAATGAATTGCATTGGCATTCCGTGTTAAATTCTTTCATTGCATACTTTTAGACACTTTTAAATTAATTTCAAAAATATTTATAAAATTTAAAAAAAAGACAAAGTTTAATGAAATTCATATACATATTAAACTTTCTGCAAAAATATGGTACTTTTTGCCAATGCATTAAGTTATATTATAAAATATGTTGTTGTACACTTTTAGACAAGAATTTTAATGAATAAAAATGGGTAAATAAAAAATGTTGCAGGAAATATAAACAATTCAATAAGGATAGCTTAATTTGCTTTCAGGCTATGTATTAAATTGTATTTAAAAATTATTGTTGTTGATTTTATATATATGTTACTTAAAACCAGCCTTTCAACGGGCAATGTAAAAAATGTTTAAGGTAAGTCAAAGCAACTAACGAAAGGCGAATTAATTAAACAAGCATTTAGGCAATGTATTAAATTATAGTCTCCCACTTTATCGCACCGTGTAGGTCAACTCACCCGCCGATGTCGATGAGGCGCGGTATGTGCAGATCCGTTTCCTCCAGCGGCGCTGAATTATTCGCCCCGGATGCGGAGACAACATGGCCCTGGGAGCTCTTCCTCGCCTGCTGCTGCTGCTGGTGCTGGTGCTGCTGACTGGGATGTGGGTGGTGGTCCTCCTCCTCATCGTCGCAGTGGGTGGACACGTGCAGATAGTCCCCGTTCCGCCGCTGGGCACTTCCCGCACTCGGATTCACAATGGCCGCCGCCTGACCCACATCATTGTCGTTCAGCGGAGTGTGGGCGGCCCGCAGATAGCCATGCTCCTCGGCATCGTGAAAGAGTCCGGCGCCCGTGGCACTGCCGCCCCCGCAGCTGGCCCCGCCCCCCAGATCCGGTCTCGTCCGCGACGTCATCTCGATCTTCTCGTAGCTTTCGCTTCGCCTCACGGGCGGCACGGAGTTCCACAGTCGAAGCTTTCGGCGCCTCTGCAGGGAGCACAGACAGATGGCCGCAAAGGAGGAGCCGCCCACCAGCAGTAAAGCGGCTATGACGCCCAGCAGGATAATCCTCACGCCCCACGGAGCCTCCGGTGGCCGTCGGGAAACGGCCAGCGTCACACTGGCCTCCACTTTGCCGGCCTTGTTCTCCGCCGCACACGTGTAGATCCCGGCATCCTGCATGTCCGCCGTGAGAATGGTCAGGTTGGAGGCATTCCGCAGCATGTTGACCACATATGTCTTCCTGCCCTGCGTGGCTGCTGCCGTTCGCGGCTCCGAACCGGAGTCCCCATCCCCGCCAGCGCTGAGATTGGCTATTAGGCGGTTCTTCAGCAGCCACTTGACCGCCGGCTGCGGCACTCCCTCCACATAGCAGCTCATGGTGATGTTCCGCCCCTCCACCCCGTGCGCGGTGGTGTCGGTGGCCACTATTTGTGGCACGCACGCGAAGTCATCCACGTCCAGCTTATCCCAGGCTCTGCCCGACAATCGCGGCGGAGACTCGCAGGTGGGCGGTATGCCACTCGGTATGTTCTGCTGCAGCATCCAGGCTCGCAGGGGTCTCAGGGAGCAACTGCAGTTCCACTCGTTGCGGGCCAACTCCAACCCGTGCAGGGAGGCCAGCGAGGTGATGGTGCCGCTCCTCACCTCACTCAGCCGATTGCCGTCCAGCTTCAGCCACTCCAGGCTGCTCTCCAGCCCGGCAAAGGCGCGCACCGCAATGTGCGCCAGCCGGCAGTCGCTCAGCTCCAACTTGACCAGCTGCGGCACATGGCCGAAGGCATCGTCCGGCACCCTCAGTATGGGATTGCCGCTCAGCCGCAGCTCCCTCAGCTCCGGCACGTGGTAGAGGGCCAGCGAGGGAATGGCCGCGAGCTGGTTCTGGCTGAGATCGAGCTCCACCAGGTTGATCAGCTTGCGGAAGGCATGCCGCTCGATCAGGCGCAGGCGACAGCGCGCCAGGTACACCTTCTGCAGGTTGAGCAGCTGGGCTGCGGCGAAGCTGTCGTCGGGTATCGACTGGATCTCGTTGCCGCTGAGGTCCAGCAACTGGGTGCCCGCGTCCAGGGGCTGCGGGATGTGGGTGAGGTTGGCGTTAAGGCACAGCACGGACTCCTTGCCGCTCTTCCACTTGCACTCGCACACCGCCGGACACTCGGCCCGCAGCTGGCCCAGCTGGCAGCAGCAGCAGCACAGCAGCCACAACCACAGTGGCAGATGCAGCGGCTGGCGGGCGGGGCGCAGGGGCGGGTGCAGGCGCCGCTGGGGGCGTGGCCCTTTCCGGCGCACCTTCGTGGCCAACGTGCGGCACTGGGCACTGTTGTCGCTGGCTATGTCCTGACCGCTGGCCGGACTCGGACTGGGACTGGGACTCGGATTCGGATTCGGACTCGACGTCGCGGCGGCTCTACCTGCGGCCATCGCATACTCGAACTGGAATGATTCCGGATGAGGATCCCGGCGATGTCCTGCCGCCTCGGGCCTGCAAGGAGACGGAAAGATATGGGATACAATTAGTGCGGCTGTCGTAAACTCTCAACTGCGGACAGTTTAATGGGCTACACAAAGGTTATTTTCATATTTTACTCGATGCACCAAAAAAATGGTTGAAATTAACGAAAGATAATAATTAATAATAAAAGTACTGCAATAATTAAGTAATTAGGTATTAAACGAAAGTCCATAACAGCTAGCAGAAAAATATTTCCAAATGAGACATTTTTTTATTTGCGGAGTTTTATAATATTGTTTATAAAACAGCTATTAGGCATACCAATTTTTCTAAAAAAAATATTTAAATATGATTTATTTCAAGAAAATATGGTTTTAATAAAATTGATTCGTAACTTAGTTGTTTTTCAAATATTTTAATGGAAAAACAAGAACACAAATTTTGAAGATATATTATAAATGTAAGTAATTTTTTTGTTATTTAAGTCTATTATATTTTTAAATAAATGATTAATATAACAGATTTCTAAATTTAAAAGAAATAAAATATTTACAGTACTATGCTTTATTATTATTATTATTATCTCCATTTCAAGGCAATTTCTACCAGTGCAATCTTCACAACAGCCACTCCCGTTGGCCACATTAAGTCATAACAACACTTTGCCAGAGATCCGCACAACTATAGGAGTTTCCTGCTCTTCCCTCGCCACTATAGGAAACACAACTAGAAATTTGGCCATCCTTCGTTCTCAGCCTTTCCTGGCATTTTTCCTGATTTCCTTGTTGTTTTTGCTTGTACCCCGCGGTTTGTTTGACTTGGCCGAGGTCCCAAGTCACCCACAGCGCTGCGTGTGTATGTGTTTCTGCGGCATGTTGCAATTATGGCCGTCGACCATGCAAGCCAAACACAACAAGTTCCCTGCTTTTTAGCCCCTCTACACGACACGACACAGCCCCCCGCTTTGCCTAATATATGAAATTTGCATGCAAGCAACGGGGCGTATGCACAACATTTTGGCATTTCCGCGTTAATTTTTCAAGCCCAAACCGCATTTCTGGTGAGTTTCTATCTCGGTCGCTCTTTCGCGGGGCACCTGCTGCTTCGACGGGTGTAGTGTCTTTTAAGATAAAAACCAAAAATTTAAAAATTGGGTGTAAAAGAAGGAAACATTTGAGCATAGGCACGGAAAAATGTCAAACACGAAGTATATAATTTAAAATACATTTTTTAAATAATAACTTTAAGCTTACAAAGCAAAGAAAATATTATGGGAAAAGCGGATAGTTTAAAGTTTTTAAATTATATTAAATTTCTATATTCTTTTTATCATTTGAAACCTAATTTAACTTAGAAAAATCTTTATGTACTTTTTTAAACCACCTTATACTTTTATGAATTGATGCTTAAAAGAAAATATAAATTTGTCAAAAACACGCTGTTATAAAAACCAACATATAAGATTTACCCCGCGAAGTTTAAAAAAAAGTGCAAAAACGCGAAGTGCGAATTGCTGTTCTGTTCAATGGAGAATGCAAACAATTTATTGTCCACGAGGCCCTTTCTCTCAGATTTCACACTGAAAAATCGCATCGTTGAGTAGCCGCTGGCATTTCACTGGAATTCGATTTCAAGTGACGCTGTTGCAAATACCCAGCGGCCAATTCGATCGATTGACGACATAATTATGAATTAATGCCGCATGCATATTTAAATTAAACCGAACAATTGGGTATATACTCAATCGAACTCAGGGCAGTTGACTTTCGTATACGGTTACGAATTGTTTAAGCCGGATTTCGAACCGTAGCAGAAACAGTAATAGTAACAGTAACAGTAGCAGAAACCGGAAGCCGCAAAGCAAACAAAATGCTTGCAAAAACCGCTATGGTGTCGAAATGGTAGGGGGTGTGAGTAAAATGGAATGGCTTTGTCACTAATGCATGTATGTGTGTGTTTATGTGTGTGTGTGACACGGTAGAGGGCGTTTAGGGGTCAATACACTGGACGACAGCCGCAGAATTGAAATGAAGTTTTTCCATGTAGCTGAAAATACTCAGCTGCATTTTTGCCCGGCCAAAACAAAGACAAAACGAGTACAAGGCAGATACTGAAAAAGGGAAATACCCGCAGACACAGTTACGAGTGTGTGTGTGTGTGTATGGGTCTGTGGTTGTGGCATTGTCGTTGCCGTTTATCATATGTGAGCACTACGCCGTGAAGTATGCAACATGCAAATGCAAATGCTGTTGGCTGGCTGGCTGCCTTTGTTGTGGCCTTTCTCCGGCGTCTCCTTCGCCGTCCAAGTCGTGTTTGTTCTCCTTGTGCAGTTGCTGCAGACACTAATCCTATTTATGTTGCATTGCAGCGGGGTTAATAATTTTATTTCCAACTGCACAACTGCAGTGTCCGCTGCAGTCGCCGCTCCCGAAAGCCGAAAGCCGCTTTCCCTGCTTATGACATACGATACGTGCTCGGGGTTCGAGAAACTTTCCATGGAGTAAGTCAGTTCTTTCTGCCACAACCACACACACACACTCATGCAGAAGGAGCAATGGCCGCCATTGAGAGGGGGCGAAGGGGGTGGTAACGTTCAGCCTAATGAAACTCGCATTAACGTGGGATATGACAACACAAATGTGAGATCTCACATGTCACAGATGAATCCCACAAATAGTTTAGCCAAGCACTGCAGGGAAAATGTGTTTAAGCATACACTTACAAAAAATAGAAAGTTTTGTATGTACTTGATCTATAACTAGACTAAATAAACAAGTCTATTAGGTTTTAAGTGTATGTGTAAAAATATATTTAAAAAATTTTTTTAATCATACACAAAATGGCTCTTTTTTAATTTTTTTGAACTCATTTTTGTATTGTTGTAAATGTAAAAAAAAAACAAAAATTAATCACTAATAAATCTTAAATTTAATTAAGATACTATTTATACGAAAGCATTAGTTCCCAAAGCTTCTTTAGTCCACTTAACTTAAAGCAATCTGTTCATATAAAAAGTCCATAAGTCTCTCGCATTATTTATGCCTGCCTGGTATGAGATGTATTATGTGACAGCTGCCAAATGGTAGCCGAGCTGGTTTTTGGCACGGATTTTTCTTGGCCATCTTTGGGTAGTCTCTTAGCCCTTGCTTTAATGTGAAAATAATGTCCTCTCGGGCCGCATTGATTGCAAATAAATTACGCACACAGCGAGGCGTTGGGGCGGAGGAGTGGTAAGAGCTGAGTTCGAGCGAGAGAACAGATTAAGTGGCCAAAAATGCTGCCATCGTTGAGTTCATAAAGCCATACACACACAAACAAATAGGGAGAAATGGGGAAACCCTGTTTGGCCAAAATGGCAGCGCCATTAATTTCACTTTGGCGCCGCGTTTCGTTTGCTGAAACTTTAATTAGAAAATCCCGGCAAAGATTTTTGTGTAATTTTCGCTGCTTGAATGCCTCGACTAAGCCTGGGTTTCACTTCTTCTTGCTCGGCGAGCTGCTTGGCGCAGATAATGAAGTTCTTTCCTCCACTTTCCTTGTATTCTTTGCATTCACACTTCCGGCTTCATTATGCGCAAATTATTTTAGCTGCACTTCCCGACCCGATTTCCTCGCCTTCGAGGTTGGCGCAAATATTATTTCACTTCTGCTATTCGTAGACTTTGATAGTAAATTCCTTTTTAATACCCTTACTCGGGGATCAGTGATTATGTCTCAGAGCTTACTATAATACGTACAAAAGCATAAATGTATGCCTCATAAATCCTTTGCCGAGTCTTAGTATTCTATGTTTTAGCTTTCTAGTTATTTTAATCCTTGCTTTTATGACATTTGGTTTTTAGTATTTAGTCAATAAGACTTGATAATCGTTGCATGTATTATTAAAATTAATCATTTAAAGCTTCCAAACAATAAATTCCGAAAATTTGATTTATTTTCAATCAAATTCATTTTCTGAAGGGGCAATAAGGATTCGTATTACTATCTATGGAAGGCAAAAGTAATCTCTAGACCATTCCCTCCAGTTCGCTGTCATTATTCATTTTTGTGTGTATTTCTTTTTGTGCTGTGTAACCTTTTTTTCCGCATTGTTTTGCAGCTGTAAAGCAATTTTCGCAAGCATAATAGACTTTACCAGCTAAAAACAAAAAAAAAGAGGAAAAAACAACTTGGGAATGAAGTGGGGAAACTCCGAGCAAAATGCCAGAAAAATATAAAGCAAGAGCAGTGCCAAGGGAGAAAGCAGAAGCTAAGCGTTATTTCTCAAGAGTCTTGGCCCGGGGAGAAGGCGCCTTGTAACCTGGGAAATACGCTTTTCCCCGCATTTTTTTCTTTTAGCCGCGACCTGTGGTCAGCTGCATTCGCAGGACGAAATATAAAACTAGGCCTAGTCCTTGCACCCACGATATTTGCTACGCTGCATCCTTTCAACTCGCCGACCCTAGCTCGCTCTTATTTTCGTCAAGGGCCACTTCACCGGCTGTTGTTTGCTATTTGTTGCTTTCCTTTGTCAACATTTGTCCTGCCATTTGCTGTTGACTTTAAGTGAGGCATTCCTGCAAGGGGAACTTAAAATATGCCAAAAGAACGTCACGGCATTTTATTAACCGCTCGGTCAACAGTAATGCTAACGACCCCTTTATAGTTTGGGAATTAAACTTAGAGCTTTGGAAAAACATAAACGTATATTTATAAAACAGCAAAAGGAAAAATTAATTTCTTTTACCAAAATGTTACTTGAAATCCTCTGAATCGAGTTAGTTTTTGTAGCAGTAAATAATTTTTCCTGTTAACTGACTCTGCAACAAAAATGGTAACATAATTACACTTATTTAAAATATGTAAGTATAAATGTAAATACGAAGAACAAGCTCTTAAAAGTATAGAAATAGTTTTAACTATAAAATGTTGTATAGCTTCGAAAATAAATAGTTTTATTTGAACTACGTGAGTAAATAGTATGGACAAAAAGCACTTGGATGAAATTTATTACTGCTTTTCTTTTGTGCTATTAAATGTTCAGAAGCTTT